ACGGCTGCACTGCTTCATCATGAGTGAACAAACCCACTGTTTGAGAACAAAAGAATTAAGCCTGAGCTACGCGGCGGAGGAAACCCGATCTGTTTTCCTCTGGGGTCCGTGTTCACAGGAACTACTCTGACAACAGAGCCACACCCACGCTGAGGATTGTGGGAAAGTGTGCTGGCTTTGTCCCCAGCCAAACTGATGTGTCTGTGTATGTGTGTGTGTGTGTGTGACGATTAGCATTGTCAACATTGTGACAACATGTACCACACCAGTACTAACATGTCTGCAGCCCAAACCCACACGGACGGTATTTTTCAAGCCGTCTGTGTGCTCAGTGGACGGCCTCGCCGTCGGTTTGCAAAAGTCAGCAGCTCGACTCCACCCACGCACCGCTTACATAACCTTCAACATTCTGTTCACAGCAACCCCCCCCCCCTCCCCACTTCCCATCTTCAATTTCGCGCATTGTTCACGCACCGACTCTCCCGTTTACACCCTGAAACTTCGACTAATGTAATTCCACTTTAAAAGCACCCCAACATAGGTTTTGTTTTTTTACAAAAATATACAGTATAAATGTTGGAGGGCCACAGTAAAACATTGTTTCTCTCTCTCTCAAAAAAAAAACAAAAAAACAATCAGTAGCCTCACATCTGCTTTATCTGAACCTCGAAGGAATACTCAGACACAATACTGTCCCGGATTTTCGTCCATTCAAGGACAAATCAGAGGGAGGAGCAGCAGCGAGGGGGAGGAGGTGGTGAGAGTCATCTGGGTGTTATTGGGGTTCATTTACATCTGCTGAGAGAACAGAATGTTCCACAGCTGCTGATTTAGGGCCCGACACCGACACTGACAACAATATTAACAATAATCATCGTCGTCATACTCTGGACCAGCTGTTCTCTTATTTTTTTTATGTATGTGTCAGAATTGATATATTACAAAAAAAAATTGATACTTTTTATGGTAGTTTATTTAGGGATGGAAATGTCAACATACGTAAACATGCTGCTGATCATTTACTGCTGTCAGTCGCTGAGACCAGGGCACCGCCAGTCCTGCACTCCATTCTGGATCACATGAGTCCAGTTTATCTCCCCAAAACATGTTGACATGCAGAAAGGGTGGAAGAGAAAGCCAGAGAGAGGGAGAGGGAGAATGTGCGTGAGAGAGTGTGTGTGTGTGAGATCTCAGGTTTCACAGGGAGAGAGAGAGAGAGAGAGAGATCTCAGGTTTCACAACTTCAGTCTGTTTTTCACCAGGGTGAAGAAACATTCCTTGGACCCGTGTTCAAAAGAGACAAATGATAACAAAAAAAAAAAGTTAGGAAAATTGTATTATTGAGGGCCAAAACATGAAAAAAAAAAAGTTTTTTAGTCACATCAGATCAATGCTGTTGACGTCGGTTAAAGGTCCATCTGCTTCACCAGGAAAACTGTCAACACGCACTACAGTTACGCATCTTTATTTAGAAGGATGATACCGACCCTTGGACCCTTACAATCTTCCTGCTACTGCCGCTGAACCCGGGGCAGGTTAGCGAGACGTGAGCCTCATAAAGTCATAATCTAAATAATCCCAGAGGCAAGTAGGTGCCGTGTTAGTTCATTCTCCAACTCCAGACAACTCTGCCAACTCTCTTATCAGACTCACGTCAGCAAGACGGCAGGAGGACAAAGAGCCGAGGGACCGATATGCAAGGGAATACATAATAGCGAACGCATCCAAAGTCCTGTGGGCGAACAATGTGAACAGACCAAATTGAACTCGGGTCTAATGGACTTCAGATCTCAGACAGTACCAACCGAACTGCTCAGCTAAACCAAACTTGGGTTTAACGTCTTATCATCTCTGAAGAAACACTTGCTGCTGTGACTCTTCGCTAAACTTCTGTAACAGTCTGGGGGAAAAACAAAAAAAAAACAAAAAAAATGAGCAGACACGTTCAGGGTTTACAACACGTCGCTGCGAAAGACCGAGCTGATTTCAGGAGATTACTGTCGCGCTCCAAGTAGAGAAGATGTTAGTTTTACATCCACTCTGTCTGGAACTTAAGCAGATACACACACACACATAGACACTGACATGTACACACACCTTTAGTTAAACATGTTTTCCCCCTCTATTTGTTCAAATTTAGCTACTTAAGAACCTCCAGCTTGTGCTAACATTTAGGTCATTTACGACCACAGTTGACAAACTCAGGGCCTGCGGGCCAAATGAGGCCCACCAAGTCATTTTGTATGGTCTTAAAAAGCAGTTTTTTTAAACTGATGAATTATCGTAATTTCCGGACTATAAGGCTTTTGAACAATTTCGAACGATGTTCATACGGCTAGCGATCAATGACTTTTCTGGTAGTCTACTGTGTGTTATGCTAGTAGCGTATGTCTGTCTGTGAATGGCTGTGTGCGTATATGTGCGTAGGGCGTGCGAGAGAAAGAACGTTAGCGAAACTTGAGAGCAGTTTGTGCCCCGGGTGGCTGATAATAAAGACCTCAACTTCCCTGTTTCTGTTTACCTCTGCTGTGGACAAGCACAAAGTGAATGGAGTTAGCCCCGGAGCTAATGTTAGCTGTAGCAGGAAAGAGCTAACGTGTAGCTAGCCATGTTACAGGCACTGTTCGGAAAAATACATTTATTTAATTAAAAGTGAAAAAAAAAATCTTTCTGTGTAAATATCCCAAGTGCGGCCCTTTATGATTTAATTAAAAGTGAAAAAAAAAATCTATAAATATATGAACAACTATATTTTTCTTTTTAAATCTGATGGGTGTGGCTTATATTCAGGTGCGCTCAATAGTCCGAAAATTACGGGAATTTTTTTTTATTGCACAGCAATGAATAATATTTGTAACTTGAATAAATAATAATCAATCACAGAAACATTTATTGTTCTTATTACTGAGATGAACTGGTCACTCGATAATAATCAATCGCAGAAACATTTATTGTTCTCATTACTGAGATGAACTGGTCACTCTGACAAGTGACATGAATTTTCTATGTATATTAAACACATGTATACGCATTTACATTTCAATGACTCTGAACTCAGCGACTTCTCGGATAAAGAACAGAAACCCAGTCTGTGTTCTGAGCTCGACCCAGTCCGTGTGAGCGGGTTCAGACTTGCTGCTTTGCATCAACATTTGGATGTGGAGCCCTTTTGTTTAAGCCATTGTATTTAAAAACAGAGGAGCACTGTTTGGACACTCTGACCTCAGTGGCCTCAGCTCTGCTGCTGCTGCTGCTGCTGCAGCTCCAGCTCCAGGATCAGCTGAGCAGCAGCAGTCTGTCCATGTCTGCCCTTCAGAGCTCCGCCGTCGCTGATTTCTACTCTGCCCCGTGGGTGGAGGGAGGGGAAGATGGTGGTGGTGATGCGTGCTAGAGGTGGAGTTTGAGGGAAAAATTA